GATAACTTGAGACATCTGTGGCGGCGTCGCGACATCCGGCTGTCTGTGAAGAGTCAGTATATGCTGGATCAGTTCGGCCAGTTCTGACATATAGAGCACAAACTTGTCCAATAAGAAAATAAGATAAAAATGGACTGCCGATATGTGAACATTACTGTCTATGCAGCATTGTAGGAATCTGGTGGGGCAGCCGGACGTGCAATTCTGAGGTCAGGCGCAAAGTTTTGGGTATCTGCGGTTGCCCACTGGAGCAAGTGGTCGACCTCCATCGATTACGTTGGTTGGGGCATGTGTTGCGCATGTCTCCAAATAGGTTACCACGACGAGCGAGTGGGTGGAAAAAAGCCAAGGGTGGTCAAGCTAAGACCTGGCACGAGGGTATGAAAACCCTAACCAGGAGACTGGGTCACATAGGTCCTGTTAGGCTCCCTGGCTGGGGACCTCGGGATGATCGTAACTGATGGTTAGAGACACTGAGTGATATGGTTGGGTGTCCAAACCAGTGGCGTTCGTGCATCTTCTCAATCTCTTTGCAACCATAGACCAAATGGGCAGCCAAAAGACAGCAACCAAAAGCGGCGCAGGAATATGCGTGGTTAATGGTTGTTCAAACTGAAACTGATTGCGCATCGATAATACCAGAAAGGAGTTTCTACAACTGAATAATCCCCTATAGCGTAGAAATGAAATCAGCCTGACGACAAAAATACAAGTTTTCCCCGTAGCAGCCTGTTCTGTCTTGCTGTACAGCCGCCAAACTTGGTCGTCGAGAGTTGAAAACTCTACGATAAGAAGTCTTCCAACACTGGTACCTAAGAATCATTCTGGGATTACGATGGAGGGAACAACTCTAAAATGAAGTGGTCGGACACCGGTAATTCTTTCTTATACGGCTATGGACGATAACACAGCGGCAACGACCACAACGGTTTGCTTACATAAATCGTCTATCTGACAATGGCCAGACCAAAGCTGTCTTGGCGCAGTCTCCCTACCCCAACTGTTGCAGCCGGTGTGATGGACAGCTGAGAACCCGGCTAAACACGGTATGCCAAAAATCTTCAGTCTTCAGTTTGAACAACCGTTAACCATGCACTTTCGTGTGCCAGTTTTGGTTGCTGTCTTTTGGCTGCCCATTTGGATGAACAGAAGGAGAAAGGCAAGAAAGTTGAAAGTAGAGACGAATAGAAAATGCAGAATTTAAGTGGACCGGTGTTTCAAAGAAACTGAGATGCACGAAAGCCACTGTTTACGACAATCAGACATTACACAGTATCTCTAGCCATCGGTTACGATCATCCCGAAGTCCCCAGTCAGGGAGCCTAACGGGACCCATGTGACCGACTCTCCTGATTAGGGCTTTCATGCCCGCATACCAGGTCTCAGTTTGATCATCCTTAGCTTTATTCCACCGACTACCTGTCTCGGCGAACATCGTGCATCGTGGCAACCTATTTGGTGGCATGTGCAATATGCCCCAACAAACGTAATCTATGAAAGTCGACCACTATTGGGCTACCGCGGTTACCTAAAACTCTGCGCCTAACCTCAGTATTGCTCGTAGGGTTACCTCAACAGATCCGAGCAATGCTGCGTTGACAGCGACATTCAAACACCAACAGTCCATCCTGTTTTCCTAACGGATAAGTTTCTGCCCCACATAACAGAACTGGCCGTGACACGGAAGGAATCTGAAAACTTTGGTCTCCTCTCTGTCTACGGTAATCACCAACGGAAGTCGGTTTGAAATGCAGTCTGCGTAGATCTTTCGTCGACCGCTGAGCATGTGCAGTTGCTATNGGTGATATATATATATATATATATATATATATATATATATCACCGGCTTGAGAACATGGTGCCAATGAGAAACAATAATAATGAAGTTATGGAGGGGTACAGAAAGAGTATATGGAAACGCGGAATACAGAAAACATGGAGAACGAATGGAAAAATGAAGGAATTATTTTGGTAGTTCCATCGTACACCTTTTGAAGACTTTTTGTTATGGGGAACGGGGTTTCGCCAAACAAACCGCACAGCAATCGCGCCA